GTCTTTAATCTTCATCCATAAGTGCTTCATGTCACCTTCACTTTCAGCAAGCACAGTTGTGTTGTGTGCATATCACAGGTTGTTAATGACTCTTGCTCCAATCCTGATGCCATATTCTTCTTCATATAGTGCAGCTTCACAAATTATTTGTTTAGCATACAGATTGAATGAATATGAAAAAAGGATGCAACCCTGAAACACTCCCTTCCTGATATTAAACCATGCAGTAGCCCTTTGTTTTATTTGAATGACAGCTTCCAGGTCTATATGCAAGTTCCTTGTCAGCAGAATTAAGTGTTCTGGAATTCCCATTCTTCTCAGTGTTAGCTATAATTTGCTATCATCAACACAGTTGAATGATTTCACATAATCAATAAAACACAAGTAAACATCTTTCTTGTATTCTTTTCTTTCAGCCAAAATGCATCTGACATTATCAGTGATATCCCTCAGTCGAAGTCCTCTTCTAAATCCACCTTGCATTTCTGGAAGTTACCAGTTAATATGCTGCTGCAGGCAACTCTTTTTAATTATGTGCAGCAAGATATTACTTGCGTGTGATATTAATGATACTGTTCACTAATTTCAACATTCTGGTGGATCACCTTTGTTTGGAATGGGTACAAATCTGGATTTCTTCTGGTTGGTTGGCCAGATAGCTGTCTTCCAGATTTCTTGGTGTAGACGAGTAAGTGCCTCCAGCATAGCATCCATTTATTGAAACATCTCAGTGGGTATTCTGTCAATTCCTGGAGCTGTGTTTTTCACCAATTCCTTCAGTGTATCTTCGGCTTCTAACTTCAGTACTGTTTTAGTTATTTCATGATGCTCTGACAGGAGATACTAGAAATGGGTGGCTTTAACAAACAGGGATTTATTTTCTTACAGTTAAGGAGGCTAGAAGTCCACGTTCAAAGTGCCAAGTTCTAGGAGCTGGGTGAAAGCCCATTGACCTTGTGCTTCAGCTATGCCTCTTGCTCTTGGCCCACCAGATCTAGAGGTGTCCCTTCACTCATGCAGCTGCTGGCTGCTGAGGCTAACAAGCCCAAGGTCAGTAAATAAAATGACATATCCCCAATATTACCAAACATGGTAGGCCACTATTTCAAGTCCAGAGACAGTCCCAAGATTGACAAGAAACATGGCAGGCTGTTAAATGAAGACTCAGGTACATTCATGGTCCAGGCATACCAAAAAGCTCAGATACTTCTTTTTACATATTGGAAGCATATCACATCCCTAAGGCAGCTACTAGCTGCTCACAGTGGATTCAGCCATGGAGTTGATTACCAGTCTCATCATGGGGAGTATTTCATCCAGCTGCCCAGTGACTTAAAACCAGGCCCAACCAAGTTGACATATAACCTTAAACACTAAAAATACCATTGGTTCTTTATCATATGCCACCTCCTGAAATAGAGGAACATCAATCAATTCTTTTTGGTACAGTGACTCTGTGTATTCTTTCCATCTTCTTTTGATGCTGCCTGTATCATTCGATATTTTGCATGTAGAATCTTTCAGTATTGACACTCTAGGCTTGAATTTTTTCTTCAGTTCTTTTAGCTTGAGAAATGCTGAACTTATTCTTCCTTTTTGGTTTTCTAACTCTAGGTCTTTGCACATTTCATTATAATAATTGACTTTGTCTTCTCGAGCTGCTCTTCAAAATCTTCTGTTAAGCTCTTTTATCTTGTCATTTCTTCCATTTGCTTTAGTTACTCTCCATTCAAAAGCAAGTTTCAAAGTCTCTTCTGACAGCCATTTTGGTCTTTTCTTCCTTTCCTGTCTTTTTAATGACCTTTTGCTTTCTTCATGTATAGTATACTTGATGTCATCTCACAGTTCATCTGGTTTTCAGTCATTGGTGGTCAGTACATTAAATCTGTTCTTCATATGGTATCTAAATCAGGTGGGATGTAATCAAGGTCATATTTTGGCTCTCATCAGCTGGTTTAAATGTCTTCAGCTTCAACTTGAACTTGCATATGAGCAATTGATGGTCTGTTCCACAGTCAGTTCCTGGCCTTGTTTTGGCTGAAGATACTGAGCTTTTCCATCATGTCTTTCCACAGATATACATATGATTCGTGTGTATTCCATGTGGTGAGGTCCACATGTATAGCCACTGTTTATGTTGTTGGAAAAAGGTATTTGCAATGAGTAAGTCATTGGTCTTGCACAATTATATCATGCCATCTCCGGCATCATTTCTATCCCCAAGGACATATTTTCCGACTGCAGTGATGTGATTGTTCTTTGTTTCCAACTTTTGCATCCCAATAACCAGTGATAATCAACACATCTTGATTGTATGTTTGGTCAGTTTCAGACTGCAGAAGTTGCTAAAAATCTTCAATTTCCTCATCTTTGGCTTGGGTGGTTGGTGCTTAAATTTTAATAATATTGACATTAACTTGTCTTCCTTGTGGGTATATGAATATTATTCTATCACTGACAGCATTGCATTTCAGGATAGGTCTTGAAACATTCTTTGTGACAATGAATGCCACACCATTCCTCTTCAATTTGTCATTCCTGGCCTAAGAGATCATCTAGTTGTCTAATTCAAAATGGCCAAAACAAATCCATTTCATCTTACTAATGCCTAGGGTATCGATCTTTATGCATTCCCTTTCATTTTTAACAACTTCCAATTTTCCTAGATTCATACTTCGTACATTCCATGTTCCTATTGTTAATGGATGTTTGCAGCTGTTTCTTCCCATTTTGAATCATACAGCATCAGCAACTGGAGTTCCAGAAAATTTAACTCCATATTCATCAAGGTTGACTCTACTTTAAGGAGGCAGCTTTTCCCCAGTCATATTTTGAGTGCCTCCTGCCCTGAGAGGCTCATCATCTGTCACTATATCAGACAGGGCTATTTGTAGAGTTTTCCAATAATATATAAGACAGTATTTCACTGCTATTCCTAAGGTTTTCACTGGCCAATACTTTGAGAAGTGGATGGCCCCTTCCTTCTTCCAAGTCTGTCTTAGTCTGGAAGCTCTGCCGAAAACTGTCTACCATGGTATTTGAAATACCTGTGGCATAGCCCTCAGCCTTACAGCAACAAACAACCCATCACCATACAACAGAATGACAGACAAGTTGTGGAATTAAACACATAAATGGTAAAAAAAAAAAAAAAAAGAAAGAAAGCTATAACAACCACCCTTATATGAAATGGATATGCAAACTATTAAATATATTATTTTTCTAATTTGTTTGTTCAAATTACTGATATGTGGGTATGGAATTCGGAGTGTTGAAATGAGTTCCAGATTGAACATATAACCTCCACTGCCTAAACTAGTCTACTTTTATATTGTTATTTCTGTAATTAAATATTCACTTTGTGGGTCATTTTTCCCTTTGAATTACTTAGAAAAGAATCAATCCAAGGCGGGATTCCAAAAAATAAAGAAATGGAATTGGTGGCTTGAGCAGAAGCTCAAATCCTGAAGTAGAATTAAAACTGAGATAAAGCTACAGGTGATAATTGTAGGATAGAAGTAAGAGGGGTAGATTGATGGAAATCCTAATCTACTTCTTAAGTTAGTGATGAACTCTGCACTGGCCTTTCACCATCAGCCTTCTGGTTAGCAGTCAGATGCCTTAGGCAGTATACATCACCAGAGCTCCCTTCAGAAAATAATATCTCCATTAAACAGCCCTACTTAGATCATGGTTTGTTTTCCAAGGCTCATATATAGAGACTTCTTACTACAAGTAGTCTCAGACTTAAAATGTATTCAACTTATGACAAACTGCACTTATAACCATCCATTTTTTTGGTTTTTGGCACATCTTTAGAAATATGGTGGAGCACATAATTTACTGATGTTATCATTCTCAGGTGTTTACTAACAGATGTTAAATTTTATTATTTACTGTTTAAAACACGATTGGATTTATAAAGATACTGATTTAAAAAAGAAAAAAGGAAAACTGAATAAAAAAGAAAAAGGAATATCCAACGTACTGAAAACCGACTTAAGACGGAGTTGCCAGAACAGAACCCCATTGTATGTTGGGGCCTGCCCGTATTTAAAGTGAAGATCATCATGTGCTATTCTCTGATTAGTTAGTATATACTTCAAATTAATTTTTTTTCTCTGTTATCTCTTTAGCAGACTTCTGAAGTTTTGAGATTTTACATTTTTTCACCCTTTTGAGGTCATATTATTTTCTGCTTTGAATTTTTTGTTGAAACCATGTATTTTCACTGATAGAAGGCATTTTGAAATGAAATGAAAAAAAAATTTTGAGGTAATATGGATTTTGATACAATTAGTCAGACACATGTCTGGGAGGTTGAAGGGATACGGCCCATTTCTTCAAATTCACACAGTTATACGGGCCCCCACCAGATGGCAGTGCACACTAGAAGTGGAATAGCAGGTTCCCACTAAACCCAAGAGGTGGAAAATGTAGGTGACAGTATATGTCCCATGGGCCATTGAATGGTTAACTTTCTCAAGTAATTAGTGTTATACTTAGTAGATACTTGATCTATCACATGTAGAATGAAATAAAAGGAATTATGAAGTAAAATATTGTAAAAAAAGTTTTTCCTTTTCACTATAACTCCTGAGCCCTGATTAAGTATTCTGTTCAAACACCAAAACACTTTAATCTCCTTTTTTGTCTACTTGTTATTTCCATCTTTTAGTCTGTGGTCTTCTTGAGAGCCGGGACTATCTTATTCATCATTGTCTCCAATACACCTGGCATGGCATCTAGCATAGGTGCTGCTCAGCAGCTGTACTATCAATGTGGAGACGTAGCAAACTGACAACAAATGTGAATTTGGGAAAGTTATGTCTGCTTGTGTTTAAAAAAAAAAAAGAAAGTTGAATCTACTTTTGTCTTCATTGTCTTAAAAAGATTTGAATTTATTCAAAATACTGTAGCAATCACTTTCATGTTCTTTTCAAAACAGCACATTTGACTCAAATGTTTGAAAATACTATTTTTCATTTGCTTTATTTTAGAACTGAACAATGCCACAAAAACTTTCTTTACTAAAGAATATTTGAAAATAAAACAAAGCTTTCAGAAATCCAGTTCTGCAAAATGGCCGCTACCAAGCTGCAGAAAAGCATTCCATCTTTTTGGAGGTAAGGAAACTAATGTAAATTAATAAGTAAATAAGTAAGTAATCTGCTAACTTTATCCAGGGTCTCTTCTTATAGCTGTTTTTCTCCTGCCTTAGAAATGTCAGTAGAAAAATATTTCTTTTTTTTAATTTGTTTTTATTTGGGTGAAGATTTACAGAGCAAATTCACTTTCCATACAGCAGTT